TTTGCTAATGGTCTTAGACCAGACCAAATTTCTTGCCAGAAATTAACATCTCCGATTTTTATGTGCCACACCGAATTTTCAATTACCGCAGGTATCAAACTTGCTATGCTCTTCCAAAAAGGTGAGTTTAAGGCTGATATCTGGATCTCGTTGTATGAATTGTACAGAAAATATTTTGCTTTTAGGAACTCTTGTAGTAGAGAAACAGAGAAACAAATTTTCCAAGCAAATCTTGTTTTTAGAGCCACTTGTACTTCTGCTAAGTCTCGAATGCCTAATCCTCCTTCTGATAATGGTTTGGTAATTTTTCCAAAGCTTACCCAATGTCGCTTTGCTTTACCATCTGCCTCTCCCCAAATAAAATTTGAGATTAAAAAATGAATTTGATGAATAACCCTTGAGGTACGCAAATAACCGATAAGATATGTATAGGCATACTTAAAGGAACATGCTTTACAAGAGTTAATCTTCCTCCAACTGATAAGAGTAAAGATTTCCAGCCAGATATTTTCTTTCTCACCTTCATAATCAGCGGCTCGAAATGTCTGATACATAAACGACCCGGGGCTATTGGAGCCCCCAAATATGTGATTGGAAAGACCCTTGTGTGAAGTTACTCAAACGGAGTGATTCATTTTTCCTCTGCAAGGACATGTGCTTCGAGAAAAATATCGCTGATTTTCGGTGATGCACTTTCTGCCCAAACATATTTTCATAAATGCCTAGGATTTCCACCACCGCTTTAATAGACGTTTTATTGCCATTACAAAAAATAATTAGATCATCAGCATATAGTAGATGAGAGATATGAGGTGCCCCAATAGGGAGAGAGTAAATTTCAATGCGTTGTTCCAAACAAGCCTTTGTTAACATGCGTGTAAGAGTCTCCTCAGCAATAATAAACAAATATGGAGAGAGAGGATCTCCTTGACGGATTCCCCGGGAAGATTTGAAAAATCCCCGATAAGTGCCATGCATCATCACCGAGAATGAAGGTGCGTCAATACAGTTCTGTATTAATTGGCGAAATTGTGTAGAGAAGCCGAAAGTGTTTAAGACTGCCATCAAGAAATTCCATTCAACCCTATCGTACGCTTTCATAATATCTACTTTAAGCATTACATTTCCTCCTCGTATCTTCCTATTAAAACTCCGAATTAATTCTTGTACCAAGGCAATATTGTTAAAAATACTCCGGCCCCCGATGAAAGCCCCTTGTTCCTTCGAGATAAATTTTGGAAGTAGAGGTTTCAATTTTGTTCGCAATTACCTTAGCAAAGCATTTGTAAATCACTGAACATAGGCTAATGGGCTTGAAGTCTCCAAAGCTGCCAGGACCTTTGACTTTTGGGATAAGTACAATGTAAGTTGATGTGTAAAAATTGGGTAGCATAGACCCACTAAAGAAATCAGTTGCAGCCTCCCAAACATCTTCTTCAATGATATCCCAACAGCTCATATAAAAACTCGATGAGAAACCATCAGGTCTCGGGCTACTATCATGTGGAATGCTTTCCATCGAAATTTTAACTTCCTCGCGAGATGGAGCCTCAAACAATATGGTATTATCTTCCAATGATATGCTCGGTGTAAGCAATGAGTTCAAAAGTTCAACCCTCGGTACGACATTTTCAGTCGTAAGTAGCTTATGGAAGAATTTAACTGCTCCATCGTAAACTGCTTCCGGGCTGTCAAGTGTGGATCCATCCTGTAATGTCATGCTGTAATACCAATATTTTTTTCAACGTTTTGCAATTGACGCATGAAAGAACTTGGTGTTGGCGTCCCCCTCCTTTAGCTATTTCACTTTGATTTTTTGTGCCAAGCAAATTTCTTCCCGCTTAATCCAATCCTTCAATTCAAGTCTTGTTGCAATTAATTCCTTTTCATCTTGCGCATTTCCGAAATTTAAGACTTGATCTTCTAGTCTAACAATTTTGTCTTCTAGATCCACAATGCGACATTTGATATTCCCAAAGCCGATTTTGTTCCACTTTCTCAAAATTGGTTTTAGCCTCTTCAATTTTTCTCCAAGTTTGAATAAACCTGAGCTTCTAGTTGGCTTCTCCCAATTTTCTTTGACAAGGGGTAGAAATTCGGCATGATCTACCCACATCCGTTGAAAATAAAAAGGTGGTGGACCATAATGTTCTTGCTGCGCCAAAAGTTGAACTAACAATGGGCAATGATCAGAGTTGGATCTAGAGAAAACCTTAGCACAAGCCATTCCAAAATGGGTTAGAAAAGAATTATTAACTAAAATTCTGTTCAACTTTTCCCAAATACAACTTTTTCCTTCTTGTAAGTTGCACCATGTAAAAATAGTGCCTTCTGTTTGGAGTTCTTGTAGGCCACAGTTTGATATGCAATCATTAAATTCCTGCTTTGGGAGATTTGGTTTTGGTGTCCCACCAACCTTTTCAACATCGCTACGAAATATATTGAAATCACCACCGACTATCCAAGGTATGTCTTGTCGTCGTATAGAAACCAACTCCCTCCATAAATCTACACGACCAATTTGAAAGTAGCTCGCGTAAACCACAGTGACTAGACAAGAGACTCCATCCTTAGTAAATATACCAGTGATATGTTGACTTGAAACCATTACTTCCTCAAATAATAAGTCATCATACCAAAAAAGCCAGATTTTCCCATTGACTAAATGATTAGAAAAACAGTTGTGAAGACGTAATCTGCACGCCCATCTTCTAATCTTCAAAACAGATTGTACATGTTCCAAAATTGCTACAACACTTAGATTAAATTTAACCATCATATCATTGAGTTGGGTTCTTGATGTTCCCAGACCTCGAACATTCCATATCAATATTTTGTCTATCATTTAGAAAAAGTTTTAGAGCGTGTTATTACCTCTGACAGCATTACAAATTTTCTCTTCTTCTGACGTTGAGGTATGGTGGTTCCTTCCTGTCTCATTTTTCCATCTTCACCCTCCAAGTCCTCGCCATTTGGACATGTGACAGAAATTTTTTTCTGTTGCAATAGTTCAGAAATTTTTTTCTGTTATCTGCAATTTGATTATCATTCAAATCCACTTGACTTGGGGGCTACAACAAAGTGTTCGTTTTCTGTATTGGTTCCTTTGAAATATTCACTTCTACTTCAATCGCCTCCTGCACGTGTTGAATAAAAATTTCCTGTTGTATTAAGTCTCGATGGTCACCAAATTCCTGGGGAAGAAGATCATTCTCTGTGTTTCTCTCCAGTGATAAGCACCCATCCTGATGTTGAACAAGAATATGTTCAGTGAGTTTGCCATCTTCTTCAAGCAAAACAGTCTCCACTTCAGTCTCCACAATGGAAGGAGGCGTTTGTTTCTCTGGCTCGTCTTTATTCTCATTCATTCCTGTTAATACTTCAGTCATTTCCCCTATAACCTGATTTTCTGTAGACGTTGGATCCAAAGATAATTTGTTCTTTGATGTTTCCCCCGCTTCCATTGTGCGTATGAGAGGTCTATAAACTTGGCGCATACGGTTTTGCTTTATCAGATTATCTTCTATTTTGGTTCTGTCGTCCACAATTTTTTTTCTCTGGATTGATTTAAGTTTCCTGCAGGTTCTATCAGAATGGCCCTGGATATGGCAGCGTTGACAGAATGCTCGTAAAGTTTCATAAACAATTTCTTGATGGTGGCTCGAACCATGCCTTGGAGGGCCAATCCAGAAAGAATCCAATCTTGGTTTCGTCAGATCCATCTCCACACATACTCTTGCCCCCGTGGGGCGTGAACCACATATCGTGGCATTGTCACACTTCAGAAAACATCCGATTCCCCCAACCAAAATTTGCAAAGTTGATTGATTGAAGAAATTAGGGGTAGTCCAGGAAGGAAGATTCATACCGGAGCAAAAGGAGGTTCTTTGTCTTCTCTAAAGTCTGATGTCCATTTGAACAATCTGTACGGCACGCCATTGATGTCACATATCTCCCTTGAACAGGCCGTTACAAAATCTGCTTCATTGGTAATGCATATCAGAACATGTTGCGGATTTCTCATGGCCCCAGTTACTGGCATCTCTGAGAGTCCCCATCGTGATTTGATGTATCCCTGAATGTCGTCAACAGATGGGCGTTTCCTCAAGAATTTGAGAATTATCGCATACTTCAGAGGCTCGGACGTTTTTTGGATTTCTTCATGTGTGAATTGATACCATACTTGGCCATTAGGACTCGTCTTTGGCTCTTTCCATGGAATTTCAATGTCTGGCAGAGAAGTTGGCTTCTCCCCCACTATATTAGCAAAGGTTCTTCCTCTATCCACCGGAGCTATCACTCCTCCGCCACCCAATTGTGTAGGTGGTGGCGCCCTAGGGTTGGCCATGGTGGCTGCCCTAGCAGAAAGGAAAAATCACCCAGGATCTCCAAAATCACCCCTCCACAAATTTCGCACTTACCTAATTTCGCACTTGGAATGATGCATTCTATAGGACATATACCTTTTCTCCAATGTTCTACTATGCATTCTCAAATAGAATAAATTATTTTTTACTTTACATCTGTACCAAACATAAGTCGAAGTGATATTTTCCTCCATCCTCTCGAAAAAAAAAATAAATAAATAAAGAGAACCATTATGTCTATGACAACGAACCATGCAACAAAAATTTACAGTAATTGGCCCCCCAGGGCACATCCAAGTTGGCTAAACAATCACATTGGGGGGCTCTGGAACCAAGTGTGGGGAGTTCGATTCCTGGTTGGAGCAGCCAAGTGATGTAATAACCAGAGGAAGGGTTGGAGCAGCTTGGTGATGTAATAACAATGGAAGAGGGTCCCTTTGGGGAAGGAGTAAAAGTCATGTGGGAACCTGAGAACCAACAAGGGCACAACCTGCGATTTACCTCCACTAGTCACTGAGGGGCTGGGGGCTAGAGGTTCAGGATTTAGTCCGGCTAAGTTGGGACACCTGGGTTATCAAAAAAAAAAAAAAAAAATTTACAGTAATTGCTAGATGACTAATTTATCAGCGACTGTTTTAAGTAATCATAATATGTTTGCATGATCCAAACCAAACAAGAAAGGTTGATAAGAAAAACATTTAGCTTAATTGAAACATTTAAGAGCAACCATTAGAGATTCAAGATCACATGACAGATTAGAATAACGTCTTTTCAAGTTTCAGATGGAAATGAAAAAGAAAAACTATTTACAAAGACGTAGCTTGAAATCTTGTTAATTTGTCCAGGGTTTCTCAAGAACTCGGATTCTTCCTATCACCAAGTACACCAGCCCAGTTCGGCTTAGCATGGCCTCGTTTCAATGCTTTTACTCCCACCGGATTGTCCTTGCTCTGCCACACCATATTACAATATCAGTATCAATAGCTTTTCATGAAAAAGAAAGGAAGATATTGCAGTAAGATGTTGATAGAATTACCATTAGGCAAGTTCCGGCTTTAAGATCACAGATGGGATAGTCATGTGGGCAGCAGCTCGACTGGTCGTCACAGCAAGTAGCAGACTCCAACGGGCAGCATCCCCAGCCAAAGCAGAAGTTGCCATACTGGTACAAGCAGCAGCATGTGCTTCCTTCCGGGCAGGTGTAGTAATCATCACACACAGTCGGAGGTTTAACTGGGGTTGGAGGGGAAGGTCCAGGCTTAGGAGGATTCTGACCATTCTTGAGAGGGTACGAGGCCTCTATTGCTATCCCGCACTTCCCTGTTTTTGTATTAGCCACATTGCGATGGAGCCTGATGTACCCACTCTCCCCCCAATTTGGACCCCATGAATTTTTCACGATCCAATAATCTAGGCCATTTTTTGTACCGTATCCAACAGCAACAACACCATGGTCTAGTTGTGTTCCACAATGTCCAGTAAAGACACCCTTAACAGTACAAGAATACACAACATTGTCAGTAAGTGATATAGCTTAGCTTGCTCAGCAAATGCTGATATTATTCGCATGATAACTAGTCGGAGAAATGTGTTTGATGCAAAAATACAAGGAAAAAAGTCTTTGGAGGCAGCATTTTGCCACTCGACTATGCATGAGGAAAGGCGGAGGGAGGGGTGGGTCAGTGAGGAAGAAGTAGCTTAACAGGCTACACTTCATAAACGATGGAGTTGTTCAACTCTAAAAGTTACATATAGGTAAACATTCAGCCATTACAAGGTTATGGCACTTCCATAAAATGCTGGAAATGCATTCTTAATGTCATACCGATTGGTAGAGTTGGAAAGCCCTGCCCCCAGCTTCAATGGCAACACTAACAGGTTGATTAGCCACGGCTTTCTTTAATGACTGTTCATCATTTGTTGGAACATCTTCATAACCATCAATGGAAACAACTCGAGCATTTTTCTGAAAAAGATCTCAACAGCAAAAACTAATGACTCGCAATGGGAAGAACAGAATTTGAAAGAAAAACATTAAAAAACCTAAAATTCATATTCTATACCCGATTTTGATCACAAGTACCATCGCGTGCTATGTAAGGGTAATCTTCCTCTGTATCGATCCCACCATTCTTTTTTATAAACTCGAACCCATAGTCCATTAGACCACCATTACATCCCTGATTGTACGACGTATCACAATCAACGAGCTCTTGCTCTGACAAAGATATTAGCTCGCCAGTTACAATCTTGTTTATCCCTTCAACAGCACCGACAGTCGAGAACGCCCAGCAACTCCCTTCATTAGAAAATAACCAAATCATTAGCTACCAAGGCCAAATTATATAGACAGTGTTCATAGATTCCAATATCAACTACGATACTAGAGACTTGGATATATTCAAGTAAATCAAGAAGTTTAACAAAGAAAATAGATATTGGTAGTGATAAAAAATAATGCTTGCTCCACAATTACGAGAATGTCTTGTCTAAGGAGTTTAGGCAACAATAGAATACAATCGGAGGATGAGCTCTATCGACCAAAATCTCTGTGTAAAACATAAAGACCAGTTTTTACACCTCAACAAATTCAATTCAAACCGAACTCTATCAATCCAATTCAATTAGAACTCGATCACATATAACCTGAACTACCAATAAATCACTTGTCAAGTACACCACAACAAATTTTGAACTCTAGTATTTGGTTGTATTTTCAACGAAATAAAGAATCGAGGGTTGGAAGTATCCCACATCAAGGAGTCCAAGCACCGTCAACAAACTCGATATTTGTGATGCAATTATTGTTGGGGTTTTAGATAAACCTATGTTGAACTTAATCTGCTAATAGGCCTCAAGTGTTGATGATACAAACCCTTAATTTTCTAGATATGCTTCGTTAAATTGACAAAAAAGGAACAAATATCCTTATATAACTTTCCCTCCAATTCGAAGAAGAGTACAAAATGATAAAATTATTGATTTCCTAATAATTAAGAGTGTAGAATCCTAGCAGAAACAAACAAACAAAAAGTAGCAATCTTTAGAACCACCAATGACCCGACCCGGGACTCATATCAAAAAATCCATCTTCCGGGTCCCATTATCGCCTTTTCAAGTCTCCTCGTCCCATGAAAGCATAAAAATTTCACACGAAACATATATATGTGCACAGTAGATATATAGGGTTTCTACTGACGAATTGGAACCGGAGATGTTACAACTTACAAGTTTTATATAGCATAAATTAGAAACATACCACATTGGCCTTGATCCTTGACCGGAGCAACGGCACCTTTCTCCCTCCAGTCAACGGACTTGGGCAGCTTGTCGCCGGCCTTAAACGTATAACGATCATTCTTCACACTGTTCATCAACCGAGTTTTCCTGTTCAATTTACCGCTCACGAACATAGACCGGTACTCCTCGTTGGTCAGATCAGAGAAACGGTTCAGCCAGACTTTATACGTTCTATCGACGGAGTTGTGTTCATCGATAAACCTCAAATTATCCTTAAAAATCTCGAACCTCCTCTCCTTCTCTCCAATGCCATTGTACGCCTTTCCGTGCTTCACAAGCCAAGATTCGTACAGAGACATGAGTTCATCGTCGGAACGTCGTAGAGTATGGCCCATGTTGTGGTTCTGGTCGTACGTTATGATTGACATATCAAGAGCACTAGATACAAAAAAGAAAAGGAAAAGAAAACAAATCGAAGGTTTGAAAAACGCCATTATTGAGAGCTTGAAAAGGTTTTTGCAGATTACTGCTTGGCTTAAACAAATTTGGGATTTATAGAGGTTGGGTTTGGATAGGTCAAATTGATTGGATAACGTGATATAACGTGATATCGGATTGGGAGACTAGGTTTTTGGGTAGACACAATGCAGAAAAAGAACTGAAATTTGTTTGGGAATGGGACATGGGGGACATCTATCGGGTCGACCAACAATCAGGCAGTGTTTGGGGGTAGATTCGCTTGAGATGATAATAATAGGATTATTCGATATTTATTTTTACCATCTTTGTTGACAACACGCATTTTAATAACATCACATTCATCCATTTTAAAAATTATTTTTTAAATCAATGGTACAGATTTTTACAACATCAATGTTGTTAACCACAATTGTCAACAACAGTTGTACAAATAACTTTATTCTTATTCGATATTTACTAATGGTATAAATTAAAAAATCTTTCATTAATTTATTATTTGATTTCAGATATTCGTGTGAGATATTTTACGTGATAACCTAACTCGATGAATAAATTTTTGAATAAACAAATTTATCTATTTATATGTAATAATTATTTTTTATTAGACTATAACAATGTAAACTTGTAACGCTCTATATCATATTTTTTAAGTCGAAACTATTCTAGGGAGTCCATTTTTATTTTATTTTTTTTTAACTTTTATTAAAAGATTTGTGCCTTTCATGTCCAGTCCAAAACTTTTGGTATACATTGCAGGCTCATCAAGTCAAGTTCTTATATGATATTTGTTAAATAATACTGGACTTATTAACAAGGGCTATCAAATGTTGACTTAACAAATTGAGGAAATTAGATCCAGTACGAACTAAAATCAAGAAATTAGATTTATACCCTCAATTATCATTAATCTTTGGTTAAAAATAAATTTTACTTAAAATTCGATTTTAAAGTATTTGCTACTTTCGTTCTAACTTGCTTCAAGAGTGACATCATATGTTACTTTTGTTTCAATTGACAAATCTTTTCTGAAATAAGTATCATCTAACAGTATATACCAGAGAATGAAGATGTTTCAAATTCATATGAAAAATGACCCTTGTTTTGCATGTAATTACTGAGGTGCAAAAACAAGGAGGCTAGCAAGACCATTTTGGAATGAGTAATACTATTTAGCCTTATTGGGATTGTAACCCCAGTTTAGGTGACGCAAATGTGGCATTAATTAATAGGTAGAATTAAATAACTCATTTAATTTCACATTTCATTTAATCTATCATTTGGTGTCACCTACATTGAGGTTGCAATCCCGATAGGACTACATAACATTATTCTTTGAAAACATTTGAACTTTCGTATGTCTTACAAATCAAATTATATGTAAGTGATATTATACATCACTTTCTATTTCAGAAGTGTCTTAATGAAGTTGTTTTTTCCATTAGTATAAATAACATAAGTCTCTAGTATATATTCTAATTATAAAAGCAAAATAACTATTAAAAAAAAAAAACTCAAAACACTTGAGCTTCATAAATATGTCAACTTTCTTTCTTCTTTTTCATAACTATAATTGAAATGATTTTACTTTCTATTTATTCATGATTTCTTCAACTCCCGACATGTTTTTATATACATTAACATCAAAAATTTCTATAGGTAGTAGTATTTGAAGTGTTGTAGTCATCGAATTATAAGTTTAACAAATCTATAATTGCATCATATCATTTTTATTTGGGTAATTGGCACAAAACGTCCTTACCTTCCAAGTTCATTGTGGAAAATGTTCCCACCTTTTATATTTTTGCCTTCATTTCAATCTTTTTTTGCGCTGGACATCCTTTTCACCTATTTTTAACTTAAAATGACCAAAATACCCTCATATTCATACAAAACAAAGAAAGAAAAGAAAAGAAAATTGCACCTATAGGCCCAAATTTTTAAAAACTGTAAATGAGTCCAAATTTCAAAAAAAATAAAAATTGTCACCTTCTTTCACATAACAATTTCTTATAAATTGCCCAATTCTTCTATAAACAAACATGTAGAATAAATAAAATCTATTTTCAATTTTCATAAGAATGACATTAATAGCAATGGGGGGTTTTTCACGAGTCTAAATCCAATGGACGGTTTGCTATGGCGTGGGCCCCAGCAGAAAGTAGAGAATTGGTAGCTGGAAGGTCTGTCCATTTTGGGGCTGATTTTAACTCCAAAATTGGATCAACTGGGGGATCAAATAATTCAATTGATAGCATAACCAGGATCGTATGATGGTGTTGAACATTGGATGGAAAAACAATATAGGACTCGTCAATTGATATAGGTGCGACTGCCTCGTAATGTGTCGGAACTAGTCATTTTTTCACAGAAATTGCATACGTTTATTGGGGCTATTTTTGATGATGTTGATCCATCAAAATGTTCGCCTAGATGAGGCGAGGTGAATGGTGGTGGTTGACGGGCATGGGAGTTGTTAGAAGTGATGGTTTCAGTTGGTGTTGGGGGCAAAAACTGTAGTTGTTTTGCATTGATTTCTTGGTCAAAGTGGTGGTTTCTATTGATTGTTTGTTGGAGAGTGTTGTGGTTGTTCTACTACCAATGAAGGGGTCGAATGGTTTCACTCCTCTTTTCCCTTGTCAGTCAGTCGAGTCCTTTTCAATAGAAAAGAATAGTCAAACGAACCCAGTTGGCTAGTCAATCTCAGAGATCTTATCCGGTGGCATAGTCGGCGACAAGGTGGTGTTTTGGCAATTGGGAGGTGGCGGGTCCATCAGTTTTAGCAATAAAATATTTCAAAGCACTAAGATTTTGACATTTTTGTGGAAGAATGTGACAGATTTTTTGAAATTTGGACTCATTTGAAGTTTTTAAAAATTTGGGCCTATAGATGCAAATTTCTTTTCTTTTCTTTTCTTTTTTGTTTTGTATAAATATCATTTTAAATGAAAAATAGGTGAAAAGGATATCCAGCGCAAAGAAATGTTGAAATGAGGGCAAAAATGCCAAAAAAAATGAAAGATGAGGACGTTTGCCACAATGAGCTTGAAAGGTAAGGACGTTTTGTTTCAATTACCCTTTTTATTTTATTTGTTTTGTTTCAAAACTACCAACTTCTAAAAGTTGTGTGCCTTCATAATTACATTTACTTCTATTATATCTTGATACCATTGTGATATCTATGCGTAATGAACGTCGATATTAAACACCGCTTGACCTTTTAATTAAAAGTGACATGTTCTGTCACTTTTCAAATGGACAACCTTAATTCATATCCAATTAAAAAAAGTGATATAAAAATTCAAATTAGATAGCGTATGACATTCTTATTAAAAAGTGATAGAGCACACATTTTCTAATACAAATGCAGCATTTTAATTCATAATCATATTTACATTTCCACAAATACCTTGTATGCATATTTCTACTTGATCCATTTCATGTATGCTAAATCAAACCATTAATTCAAATTTGAATTATCACGTATACTAATTCAGAAACATTAATCCAAAGTTGAATTATCATGTATACTAATTCAGAACCATTAATCCAAAATGAAGGATGCTTCACATACAGGGCAGCCAGAGTAGACACAAGGGGGTGGGGCCCGTGAGAATTTTTTTTTTTTTTTCTAAATTTAGGTTGGACCCATCAACCTGCCTTCTACAATGAGGGGCCTGTAAGGCCCCTGTATGAATCTTGCCCTGTATTCGGATCATTATTCATCCAAAATTGACTTTTCATATATACAAACACAAATAAAAACATTAAAAATTCTCAAACGCCCAATTTGAGTCAATCATAGCTAAACAAAGTCCAAAGTTGAATTTTCATACAGTGCATAACAAATATCTTCAAAGTAAGATGAGTATGTTACTTGGAAAAATGACTTTCAATGCCTTTAAATATGAGATGAAATTGAACAACAAAATATGAAAGTTTATACAATCATAAAATTAAAATCTTTGAAATAAAATTTATAGTTAATTTTTTATTTGAAGAATTTTATTGCAATAATCTTGAAGATTGAAAGAATTTTTTGAGCGATAATGATTTTTGTAGAATGTGTGATTAAAAAGTAAAAAAAAAGTTTTGAGTTTATGTATAGAATATTTTATTATATGAATGTATAATTGAAATTGTATGAAAAATAAAAATATTTAGCTTTAAAGAAGTCAAACAGAAGATACATTTTATGTTAACTTTTAAAGGGAAAATTAACCGAAACCCTACATATAAAGCATACTATTCAAAAATAAGGAGGATTACTTTTAATTTCACAAATTAGATAATAATAAAGATATTTACTTTTTAATATACCAATTTATATATATCCCACTATAATATATTGATAATATACACTTATTTGAGCCGTTAAATGAGATTAATTGTAATAAATTTTGATAACTTAAACTTTGTTTATTAAGGGTCCGTTTGATTGTAAAGATGGAACTTGAGTGAAAGGAAAACGAATTCTAGGGAATTAAGTTGCCTAGAAATTATTTTTCTGAAAATTGTAAATTATTATGTTTTATTGATATAATTTTTCACGTAAAAAATGTTGAAATAAAATTGTTGTTTGGTGTTCGTGTGCTTTGTTTACATGAAAATTGCTAGTTAAAGGGAAAAAATTTAAATAATTTTTAGAATTTGTTTCCATTGCCAAAAAAATAAAAAAATAAAAAAAAAATGCTACAATAACCGAGAATTCCAATTCTCACCATTCGACATGAAAAGCTAGAAAATGAATGCCATGAGAAAATAGAGCCATCAAATAAGCAAAAACATGGAATTGGAATTGGTTTTCCAATTTCCATGGAAATTTTGGGTGCATCAAACACACCCTAAGTAAAACTCGAGGCAAATTGGTGGAATTGAAAGAAATGAATGAAAAATGGGCAAAACGAAAGAAATCTAACGTTTGAGGACCAAAGTGTAAATATTTAATACTTGATTCGGACTATAAATAATGAGTGAAGATAACATATGATCAATTGAATGCAATTTAAAGCCAAACGAATAAGATATAGTTGAAATATTTTCACAAATCAATTTTCTGCTGAAAAAGTTATGCTCCGAATTTTTTGTCTCAACTTAAAACTCATTTTTCGAATAGTTAACGTTTGAACTGGAGAAATTATATATTTTGTACCATTTGAGTTATCTTTACAATGTTGTTTGAATTGCCTCAATCGGATATTGAAAAAGAAAATTATGATCAACATATTGAAAGCTGCTTAGGTATATCGTGATTCAAATCGATGTGTGGTACATTGTTTTCACCAACCCGAGAGCCATTTTGGCTCAATGTTGCATGCGCGGGAGTTATGCATGTGCACATGCACGGGTTATTTTCGCAAATGAATTAGCGATTTCTTTTCATGATTCAAACTCTTTTTGAACCTAAATTAGACACGATTTTTGTCTCATTTTTTGGCTCTTATAAATTAAAAACAAGGGCTACACATGGGAACAACTCTCCCTTGACTCTCCATACACAATAGTATCATTAAATTCATTGAGAATAAGGGACCAATTACTATATTTTGATAGAGGTTATCAAGCCCCCAGTAAGGAATTGGAGCTCAATTACATCGAGATTTTGAATAATTCAATGTTGGACATAAAGATTAACATCTTTTGAATTATTTCATGATTCAGGTGATATTTTTCTTGTAATTTATATATTAATATGTTATGCTTTATTCCCTTTTTTGTATTGGATAAAGATGAACCCCATTTGTTTTTTATTTCTAATTCAAGACTTGTAGTTTAGTATTTCTTGATTAATTTTGCATATCCATTGCATTATTTAATTGGTTGACCACCAATTACATAATTCGTTGCTTATTATAGTGTTGGAAGACTCATAATAAATTTAGAACACATCAAAATTAACATATATGCAATAGATATTAGGAATAACATTTATCAGATGCGCAATCATATATATAATCTAAATTTTAATGCATTCTAATCATTCGAATTCCTGTTAGGAATAAATTCGTGTCATGATTGAGATAGATTTAATTTGTCTAAAAAAATTATATATATTATTACTTTATTGATTGTAAAGAATGCGTGAATCAAACTAGATTATAAGTCGCTAATTGAAATAGCTAGCAATAGGCGGATTCTAGATCCAACACAATCATTTATAATTTCATGAAAAACCAAACTTTTATTGTTTTTTTAGATTAATTTAGCAAATATCATATCAAAATCTCCATTTTGTTTTACATAATTCGTATTCCATGCTTAACTAATAAACTTGAATAGAAATTTATTCCTTGTAGAATGATACTATCAATTGACTAAATCTATTACTTGTCAACAATCCGCATGCTTGCGGTTTCGCTTGATCATATACTTATCCCACACATCTCTTGATTCAATCATGATTTATCCTAACCCTACCCCACATCTTCACAAAGATATTTTAAACTCTCTCTACTTTATCTACCAATGAAACTTTCTTTATTTACTATCCTCGCTCGCTCCCCCCCCCCCTACAGAGACAAAATACAACCTCTTTCTGTATATACATACAAACAAAAAGATACAAAATGAAGATAACCATATGTATTGAACCGTAGCTTTTCATCGGAGTCTACGAGGATGGATAATTTGATGAGACATAGATTTGAGGAGGATTTGAGGTAGAGTTGGTGAGGAGGTTGTGGGTTTAAGGTGGTGGCCGACTTGGATCGTATTGCTTGTGTGTTTTATGTTGGTTTTATGTTGTATGTGGAAAAATTCTGTTTAGCAGTAACTATTTGTGATCAGATCTGGGTATTCTATTATAGTTTGTGAGCGATCTGTGTTATATGTTACCAACTGTGATCAAGTTTGTCTTCATTATGATTGCTTATGACTAGATTAGTCTTTTACTATGACTGTATGTGACAAATATATCTGGTCATAAGCAGTCACAATGAAGACGAATTTGGTTACAACGGATCACAATTAACATAGACTTACAACCACGTTTATATATGTTGATGTGGTTTCAAACAATAATTCTTCATTACTATTTGACCAGAAAATATTTAGAATTTAGAAGAAATGTCTTGGTTTTGAAATTTTCAAATTCTAAACCACCGAATTATTAACTCACTCGAAGTTAGCCCTTGTAGATAGACGAAAATTGTAAAAATTGATGATGGCATTGTGGCTTACTCAATCGAAATTTGCTTTTGAAAAATTATACTCATCAAATTATAGTCAATTTCAACGATAATTTTGGAGCAATTTTAGATATAATGGAGATGTGAATGTTCCGATTTTCCAAATCTGTAGAGTAGGGGAGAGAAGGTGGGTGGGAGAAAAATTAGAAAAGAATATGTTATTCAAAAAGGATTACATGTTATATAATAGGATGTGATAGTAATGATTAAATTATCCTGATTTAGTGTGTGTATTACGATTTAACACCTGATTTGTGAAAACATTTTTTACAAATTTGATAAACTTGAAATTGTATTTTCAATTTATGATAATTACCTATTTTTTTTCTTTTTTAAAATGTCTCAATTTTTTGGATATCTATGTGATAACCCACGACAAATTAACATTCGTTTTTGCTTATTTAATATTGCATCTTGAGCTGATATGTGGTTTAGCTAAAATTCTAATTGTTAGCAGATTTTGATAAAAGTGAATAAAATATGTGATTAAAAATTTGATAGGAGTTGTGAATATCATAAAATCTATGATTAAAACTAATTTTTTACTTTGATTATCATTATTTTAAATAAATCAAACACTGGTTAAACATATTCAACAAGAGGGGCTCAATATAAGTGCTTGTTTGGTAGGGATTTTGTTAATTGATTTTTTGACTGTTAAAGGTAAGTGGGTTCTACCTGTGAGAGAAAAATTCAAAAATGACAGCTAAAATAGTGAAATAACGATAAAAAAATTGATGTTAATTGAATTAAAATCTCTACCAAATATGTTCTAAATAAATCCAACTAAAAACGAACCAAATATCATCTTTCACCACATCACGTTTATATAAACCATAACGTAAATTATTATATACATGTAATATAATCGTTAGATAATTGTCCAAATTATAGTGCCCTTAATTTTGCAAGCCACATG